TTTCCAATTAATAACAAATTTTTGTCATAATTTGATACGCAATCCCTTATGCGCTCTTTTCAAAATCTCATAAAATATTAAGGCTACAATATCTTTTATTTTTGTTGTTGTTTTCTCTTCATTTTCTGAAACATTGGCAGTTGAGTAAGGGAAAATTGAAGATTTTTGTTTTTCAGTGTAAGGCACGTGAGGAAGCCTCAGTCCATTTTTAGTTGAATTAAACGAATCTTAAATACCCGTCACCTGGATCCTATTACGTTTTAGTTTAAAATTTCAAAATATTTCACACTAATTTGCGCTAATATATATTCCTGAATTATTAGCTTTATTTCTTTGCTTTTTTTCAGTTATCTTGAATATTAAATTTTGAATAGAAGCCTTTGTTTGATTTCAAATGTTGGATAAAGTTTTAAAAGATTTTGCAAATTTTGAAATGAAACAAATTTTAGCGCAGTTTGTTTGCCAAAAAAATTTGAAGAAAAAACTAAAAAGAATAAAAGTGAAAACAAAAGCAATTAATGGGAATTTACGTAAAAACATATGAAATCTTAATCTAATTAAACTTTTAATTTTTTTGCATATATCACATACGGTGGCCAGTAAGCCTTACTTTATTCTAAGATTGTTGACACCAGGGTTAAAACATTAAAATTCACAGAAATTTTAATTTATTACAAAACGAGTGTAGATAATGGGATGGGTGGTAAAAAGTAAACAAATAACTGTTTCTCTCTTCTTATGCTTTTTTAAAAACACCCATAAAATGTTAATTAAGTTTCTGCAAATATGGCAAATAAAGTAAACATCGCACTCCGTTTTGAGAGCTTCATTATATGTTGAGGTGTAAGTAAAATTCAGGTCATTTGCCTTACAATGCTATCAGTTTAATGTTTTAATATTAATATATGATTAAAATTCAATTAAATTTATCTGAAATAATTTTTATGACCAGAAAAATTACTTAATAAAATTTCACAAAATCAATTTCTTTTTAATTAAAAGCATAATGGACGTAGGAAAAAGTTTTCGAAGGCGAAATTCATTTCATCACCGAAGGATTAGGAGTACATGCATTTTGTCAAAACGATTCCAACCCCCAGAGGGAAGCTTCAGAGATCCAAAAAGTATATATATTCTTGATCAGCATCAATTTGTAAACTATTTGAAGACGGTCGTAATGTCTGTTGTAAATAGTCTTCTGATCGCAAAAATGAAATGATCAACTTCAAATTTGGCTGAAACATTGGAAGTTTTTGCACGCAGGTTTCGAATTGAAAATTGACTAAATCGGTTGAAGGACACGCCTACAGCACTATCTAAAATCAGAACAGCTCTGTTTTTCAAAATGAATAAAAAGTTGGTCATTGGTTGATCATTACTCATAAACCATATCAGATAAATATCCAAACTTTGCACGTATGAGTGATGCTGTAATATCTGTGAAAAGTGGAAAAAATTAACCAAGCCTACCCAATATAACAGTGTATACAATAAAATATAATTTGTTTTTCAATACCTTTATAACACGCAGGAATAAGCTTGAAAAACCTCCCTATCATCCATTCACTACTACTGCTATTTTTACCGCTATACAGTCATGAGCAAGAACAGGGATATTACTTATTTCAATACAAGCCCGCGTGCGAGAATTTCCAGTATTACTGCTAAATTTCAAGTCGATAGCTTCATATTTGCAACCAGAAAATTGTTTGCTATAGATTCCGCGCAACAGGTAAACGGACAGGTGAACGGACATGCTTAAGTCGGTTTAAAATTTGATGCTGATCAAGAACATATATATTTTATAGCTTCTCCGGAGCTTCCTTCTAGATATCCCCCGGTTAAGGATATAAAAGATAGCAAAGTGAATGTTAAAAATAATTCCAAATTAGATTTACTAGGAAAACAGTGAAGCATGCCGTAAAATAAATTTTAATGTTTCGGCGGGTATTAGTTCGATACATTTCATAGAAAACACTATGCATAGAGTTTTATATAAAAACTTGGTGGGAAGTGTCATGGTTCCGTATCCATGCTAAAGAAAACATGCCAGTTCAATCTTTATAAAATAATTTCGAACAAAGAGATCTGTGGTCTCAGCAGGAAATGTTGGGAGATTCTTCAACTTATATTCTATGTATTCTTTAAAATCTTAATAAATCTATGCGAATTTTAATGTTATTTGTTTTTTTTTTTTTTTTTTTTTAATTTCTTTGTTAAATGTCAAAGATTCTTAACATAAATAGATATTTTAACCAAAAAAATTCCAACAATCTTTAAATGAAATGAAAATATTTCGATGTAAGCAAAATTTGCTCAAAACGAATCAAACCATGCATCGGCATACTTAAAAATATTCATATGTAAACCTACACTGGCAGCCAATTAAGAAAATACAGAAATTTGTTCCATAAAATGTGGTAACATTTAACATTAAAAAGGTAACGTGAACGTACTTACACACATAGCCACGCATAAAAACATATTGCAACTCATCAGCCATAACTGACGGTTTTGTTTTGTTTCTTTTTTATATGCAACTCGTAAAATTAAGTGAAAAATTTTAATTGTTTAACTTCAGAAATTTAACAGACGTACACAAAACATGTTAAAGCAAAAAAAAAAAAAAAAATAGCAAGGAAGTATGAGAAAACTAAGAACAAAAAAAAAAAATGTAACAGCGTTTAATACTTTGTTTGGTTGTTTGCAACACAGCGCAGGTGCAAACCTGCTATTGGTAAAAGCGTGTATATCGAGTGTCTTTCAATCATACAAATTTTTGTGGTTTTGTGGTGTGTGGAGGTGACATTCGGGTTGAAGTCTTTTTCTCGTTTTATTTTTTAAACATGTTTTTATTAATGCCCTTTATTCCTAATGAACTGTGATAGTTTGTAAGAATAGAGTTGTTACACTAAACAGGAACTTTATTACCGATTAAATATATTTCTTAGAGCACAATTTACAGGCAGTGGATTATCGGAAAGGGTCTTGGCGCAAAAGCTGCTTGGCCCCCTTACTTGAAAAAGTTTGATTTCATAATAACTTTGTCTCTTGTTAGATAATATTTTTTAAACGCTACTGTTTTGTAATTACAGGTGTCTCCGAATTTTGCTCAGATTAGAGATTAATAATAATTCGCATCTTTAGGAAAACTGTTCTACAAATGTATTAACTAGAGCCTACTCATGTTGTGTCCGTCAATTAATTTACGGACATTAAATTTTTCATTAGCTGCCCATTCACCTTCGAATTTCACTCGCGCGAATAACATCGTCAGTCTCTCTCTCTCTCACCCACTCACTCGCGCACAAAGTCATAAAACTTATAATTTCACACTATCAGGTGGTAGTCGTGTGTGTGATATTTAAGCTGTAAATAAATATGGTGAAAAAGTGTTACACTACTTTTTTTTCTTTTTTTTTTTTATGTGTTTATTTTGTCATTTGTTTCCTTTAAAGAAAAATAAAATAAAACCTAAAGCTGTAATACATACGTATCATTCGAATCGTGTAAGCGTTATATGGATATTTCATAAAAGTGAACAAATCTGTGCATACTCTATAAGGGTAAGGGGTCTTGGCGATGCAAAATCGTTCTGCTTTAGTGTTGTTAATGTTTGTGGCACTGTATCGAATTTCTTGGTTATAAAATGCAATCAAAGAAGCCTACAGCCGAACCAACCCAGACACGATTGGAACATTCTGTTTGTGCCCGAGTAGGTATATATATTGCTTGGGAAAAATGTTCGCGTGCGCAAATAACTTAAGGCCCAAGATTTATATTCATTACAAATTCCTTTCATATTGTACGGTCATATCCACCTGAAAACTTACAGCCTTTGTTTTCTTCTTGATTTTCGTTTTCTAAATTTTGAATTTCTTTTCATTATAAGTTTCTTCCGTTTTTTTCTCGTTTCGCTTATATGATTATTATTTCGCCACAATATTTTCTTGCCTTTCAAGCGTGTGGGTGGATATGCTTAAATTAAAGGAAACCAGCAAAGTATATACAATAAATTGTAACGTTCATCTTTTCAAAAAATTTTTTTTTATTTAGTCTCTCTGTAGTGTTGCTGCTATGCCATTTTAGTCATATACATTTTCTTGTCATTCCATTAGCACTGTTGTCGGCATTGTTGTTGTAATTATTTAATTTAGGCTATTGCAAGCAAAACATGATCTCTTCTCCTGTTGCATCCATCCACATGTGTAATGCGTTTTATGCGGCCCATGACTGATCACAAATAACTGCCAGCCAGCAACAAGAGTAGCATAAGTTTTCCACTAAACCAATCGACTGCAGGTTCAGTGTGCTGTTGATGTTGTAGATTGTGTTTCCACTCCTCTGATCACAAATTCACAGTATATATACGTATTCAGTGTTTTGTTTATGAAAATACTCTTAAAAAATAGTTCTTTATAAGTATAATCTATATTAATAAAAGATTTCGATCCTTTAATCAAGCGGATACATTCATTAACAGTATATCTTCATCAAATTTTGCATATTATTATTTTGAAATTAGCAAGTTACTGCAATTGTTCTTTATATCCGTTTAGTCGTTACAATTGGATATTAACTCGTTGTGATATATATATATATATTGATTTTTTAATTTGCTTAACGTAGCTTTAGATTCAGAAGCGTTCAGTTTTTTTTAGGGTTTCGCTAATTTTATTGCGTGGCATTTTATATTTTAGTTGATCAACTAAATTGAGCCTTTGTACTCTTTCTACTAATTATAGGACAAAGATTTGTAAAGGCCTCGCACCATATAACATAATGCGGCTGTACTATGCATTAATATATATAATATAATATTAAGTAACAAGTGCATGCAAAAGCAGAAGGAACTGAATGCAAGGGAGTTCTCTCACATATATTTATTTTAATATTATTTGGATGTAGTACGGAGCGTTCATACCGTGTAGTAGTAAATTTTTGACATGTAATTAAATAGAAACTTTAGCGGCATAAAGATAACGCTTTGAGTAAAATGCTTTTAGTCATAATAAGTAAAGAATTCGTTTCGCTTTAGCGCGATGTCTTAAGTAAACTTTAAAATTTTCATTTAATTATGAATCGGTCAGCGGTAAATTTTGGGTACGAAAATTTTGATTGACTCTTCGTTTCTTCAACGATTACGACTGGAAATTTCGTTTAGAAAAATAAGTTATGGCGAAACTCTGAGAATAAGAGAAACAGTTTAAAAGTATCTGGACAATTACAAAAAGATCATATGTAGAGTGCAACACGTAAGTAAAGCTATCAATTTCAATACTCTATGAGGTAATCTATACACATACATATTAAAATATGTATGCATATGAATCAGACTTTTCACAGAATTTCTAGTTTTGGCATATCTTCGGGTGGTGCGGTCGATTTGTTCGAAATATTATTCTTATGAAAAAATCATAGGTTAAGCGACGTAAACTCTTTTCTGTGCATAGTTAAGAATTTATATTTATATCAAGGTGCCGCTCGGAGTGACACTTGTGGATTTCCAAAGGCTTTCATCAGCAATCTTTTCCACTTTTTATATATAGTGTGTACTTCTAGTTATGTTCAAGAATTTGGAATTTTTTTGGCAACTGATGCTCCCACTTCACTATAAATTGTACGTGTAACAATATCGTCACAATAGACAAACTTGAAGGTTGCTAAACCTAAGTATGTAAAATATATATTTCACGCATATAGCGGCATGCGTTTTTTCATAACTAGCAGCAATAAACATGCATACATTGAGTATCATTAACACATTTTCGAAGAAGAATGGCCCGACCATGTCTATAAATCCTAAATACCTAAACTGCCCATTTAAACAGTGACATATTTCGTGTGTGTATTCATATCTCAACAATAGCAGGCTTTCTAAACTTCAGAATTCCACGATTTTATCAACTGGTCAAGCCATCAAGATGAAAATGAGCCGCATCGCTGAAGAAGGTTTTTGGTCGAAAAATCACCACTCTTTCAATCGACATCTTTTACCCACTTTGTTCCGTTTGCGGTTCCCAAAATAAAACTCGGCGTATAGAGTCTATAGTTACAAGGAGCTTTATTGAACTTAATTACTATACGATCAGTGAAAGATGAACGATCTTTGCCGTTAACAACTACTGTCGAGCTGATGACTTGTATTGTAGATAATAAGCGCCAGATAGTCCGATGATACTTCATAACCCAGGTGCAACAAGTCAAAAAGTGACGTTAGTGAAACGTTATCTCTCTGTGCGCGTCGCTCTTGTCAAAAATCATCTCGTATTAAAAACCCTCCATCTCAGCTTATTAATATTTCTACATGAGTTGCTAAGCTTACTCCATAAAAAAAAGAATAAGTGAAAATGATGAAATTAATAAATTTGCAAGACCGCTTGCTCTAAACTTGAAGTAACATATGAAAAAATTTTCCGACCTCTTAATGCCGCATTCCAAAACATTTATTAGACTAGAAAAAATAATAATAATAATAATAAAAAAATATCGCCATCGCGGAAACTGCATTTAAACAATTTGATGACTCGTCATCAGTATAAGTAAACATATTCATTTGAGGTATGAAAAATATCAGTAAATATCCAAAGTGATACATTGCATAATTTTTTTGCAAACATACACACGCAGAATAAGAAAGAGAGAGAGCGAGAGAGAGAGAGAGAGAAGAAGAAGAAAAAAATAGAAGAAAATTTAAAAAAAGCATTATCTATGTTTGACGCGTAACATCTGCATTCAACATTTTCATTTCCATGCTAGGCGTAGTCAATTGCTAACCTATGCTAATCATAGAATTTCCAGTATTACTTAAATGGATACGGCTAGCAAGTATTTAACACTTGCATACTAAAAGCATTAACACTAATACATAGCAATTATAGATAAGTAAAAGAGAAAGAGAATATATTATAGTAAACCAAAGAAACTAAAAGCGACTCATTCATGTATTAAGGTAACGAAGTTTATCCCATTATTGCTGTTGTTTTTGTTTTTGGGGCACACATGACACGATATTATCAGTAGTTATGTAATAAAATGCTAATATTGGCATTACATCAAGTTGTTAAGGTGGCTTGTCTAGTAGTTTCATACAGCAAAAACAACACCAACGAGGAGAGATTTGCAATAACGTCGTGCTCTGCCTTCCTTTATATATATATTTTTAACAAATACATACATACATATATATTATTGGACTGCTTGTTGTACTAAATCGTAAGACGACCGACGCACTATAAAACGTGAGATGAGCTTCAAAGATATATTTTATGAATGTATTGCACAGACACATACGCTTAAACAAAAGCGAACGTACAGAGAGTGTTAAAAGTCTTAGATGTTATGTGCTCGTTAGAGAAAACATTGCTCTACCGTTTCACTCATCTATTCTGCAAACGGTACGAGGCGAGCAACAGAGCCACGAATGTTTAGTTTTTCTTGAATGATTATGTAGTACGTATCATTGAAATACATCGATAATAAAAGTCGAAATGAAATAAAATAAAAAAATTAAAAGGAAATTAAAAAAAAAAAGTATGTACAGAAAAGATGTAAAAAAAAAGTACAAAAACATCCTGGTAACAGGCTGTTATTAAATATAGGGGGATTGGCGGCAGACTAAAATCATTTGGTGGCAATCTACGAATGGTGCATACAGTAGAGCACCCACAGCATTTTTGTGTTTTGTGTGTTGTGTTATTTTGATTTAATTTTTGTTAGGCGCCAGTTTCTGACACCAACGGCTTTTTGTTGTTTTCTTAAATTTTGCATAACATTTTTTTCTTAAAAATTCGACATTTACATATATCTATATATATGTATATAATTTTGAATGCTTCCCTACATATTTGAAATGATGGTTGTTTTGATATTGTTAGGTTAACTGTAAAAGACGATTCATACAATCGCAAAATATATTTTTAATAGAAAAGTTTTCCCTCTTTCTCTACCTAAAACATATTTGCTTTTAATGAAATTCTCAACATTTCAAAGAACTTCATGCTCATACACGTAAACATAACACGCAGTTTTGTATGCATAAATAATGCCGTATAATTAATTTTCGATTGCCTTCATTGATGTTGCCAAAGTTGCTCTGTAAACATTTTAGTACTTTAATTATGATGGATTATCGCCACATGTTGATGTTGACGTTGATGCTGATGACGATGACGATGATGTTGTTCGTGTTGATAAAGTCAAAACAGTGTTGTTTGTATATATTCTGTGTGATATACTAAATGAGATTCTCGTAACAAATAGGTATATAAAAGTATTATCTACAAACGTCTCCGTTTTCTCACTCTCTTTTTCTTTTTCTTACTCATCATCTTTCTCCTTTTGTTTACTACAAAATATAGTATACAATAATGAACAGCTAGCATCAACCATCGCGCTCAATATGCCTACGAAACTCTGTCTCTGCACAAAGTTAAATTCAAGTAATTTATTATAAAAGAATTTAAGCTTTAGTCATTAATTATGCTAAAACAATATATTTATGAATCGGTTATGCCATGAACACGCACACACTCATGCTTTCAAATCATAAATACACATGCATATACACATACATACATATATATATAAATGTACATTTATATATATATATATGTATATATATATATAATATACATATATAATATATATATATATATATATATATATATATATATTAATATACACATATGGCATGCATAACAATATGTATTGATGAGAATTTATGCCAATTGCTGGTTTACTTTGCAGTCGTGCAGCTTAGCATCACAGTCCTAAACAGTTCACTATGCATGCATAATGTTGTTGTTGCTCTCTCTTAATGCTATGTTTAAAGTTTATTAGTAATCAGTTATGATGTTTATATGCATATTTATATACATATTTGCAAACGGGCCTGATCTTTTGCATAAATTTTGTTATATAAACTCTTGCACATATACCTACTTATTTACTTACTTGTTAGCAATATTCATACATAAATATTTGTATCATTTGAGCTACCGGGTTAATTACTGTGGGACGACGAACATGGCTTCCCGTCTCTGCATGGATCCCTATTTTTACATATATTTAGTATAAATAATTGCGAAATTTAATATTCAATTTTTATCTTAACCAGTAGACACACATAGTCACAAATGCAGTCATCCATACTCATATACATATGTACAACATTATTTATGCATTGAAAACAACTTATGGTTATATTTGTACGGAATACATATTCGTTAAAATGGTCATCAATTTCTTAAAGCCATCATGTTTTATTTAATTATTTATTGTATGCAATAAGAAAAAATTTATGAAGCTTTTGAATTAAGCCTTACTACAGAGATATTCAATCTTTTACGACTAAAGGGCTAATTAAAATTTCGCGCCTCGCCTGTTAGATTGTACTTTACGTTTAGTTTAATAAAACGATAAACGCAAAGAGAATGCAGTTTCCCGAAAAAACGAAATTTCATTTAGAGAAGTATATTTGTTAAAAGTTTATTTTACAGTTTTTAAAAGAACAATACAAAACAAAATAAATGGGATCCATATAGTAAACCACCGCCGACAATTAAACGCCCTACGCGAGTCTATATTTATTCATATAATGACTTTTCAAAATATGATTTTATAGTAGAAGTAGTCGAAAAAGTACTTCAATCTAGCCCGCTTTTAATAGCGTTCGTTTTTGAATCAAAAATTATCAGTGCATTAAATATCATCGAAATATTTCTAAAAGAGTGACCTGTAGACTGACCGTGAAATAAAAAGGCAGACAGATCAACAGGTGGACAAATGGAGAGACAAACGTAAATCAATTTAGAAAGTCACCCTAAGTCTATCGGTATAACAAAAGCTGGATTCATATCAAGTCCCTATGGGTTTTGCGTAAAGCCAATACGCACCTGTGCTACAAGCAAAAAATGATATAAAAAGTAAGTTACAGTATTAATGGCTTGCCTTGCTATTACTGTAGGAGAAATAGTCAATCACTACAACTAACAGATATAAGCGTATTTTTCATTTTCTCTAATTCTGTTCAAAATTAGAGTTACATTGATTTGAAGCTAATCAGTGCAAAGGATACTCTTGCTCGGATTAGGCTTCAATTTGGTATTTAGGAGCAAAACTCACAATAAAACTTCTCAATATCATTGTTTCGCTTAGAAATAACTCTTCCATTATCAAAATCACAAATAAAATAGACAAATGCAAACGCGTCACTAAAAATGGAGCAAACTGGAGGTTACTTATTAATATATTA